TATCATGAATTATTGAAAAGAGCTAATGTCATGTCTCTTAACTCATCGGCTAAATTTGGCATATGAGATAATTTATTCTAAAATGTGTTCTTGACACTACTGGTTTACACACATTGTGAATAGCAACATGCTTAATGACACAGTTCTGTAACCAGTGTCTCTGGACCAGTTAATCCAGTGATTAACATCATGAGCATCTATCTACACAACTTGATACTATACGGTGCATCAACCAAGTCAACGAGCCTGACTACTAGTGGTGTTCCGATTAATTTAAATAATTGAAGATTGGTCGCAGTGACCAAACGACCAAGCAATCGATCACATTTTCTCATAATCGAACATAAACGATTTTGGAACTACTGTTTTAGTTTTGAAATACTTGACAATGGAACATATCGTTGAAGTTGTCAGGGCCTGAAAACGTGTTTAATTCTTAGAAAACTTACTTCACTAACTGAAAAGCCATGACTGAATATTTCTTGAAGACTCCGGGAAATTTATGTTCAAGATGTATTAGTCATCACTTTAAAGTAGCAAGTTGCATCATGTTATACATATCTGCAATAACAACCTGGATATGAAAATCTGAAAAATGACGCTAACCAACTTTTGTCGATGATTGTTCGTTGGTAATGAAGCAATCATCAATTGTGAGATTTCAACCAATTCCCAACACTACTGACCACATGATGCCATTAGTCATGACTTACAACAAGCATGGGTTGATGAGGACCATTACTAACCTGGAATGTTTACAGGAGGACTCCATTGGTTCAGGAAGAACAGGAAGTCTGACAGTGGACAGAACAAGCTACATGTTGTAGAGTACATCGAACATGACAGCTGCCAGACAGCCATGAATAGCTCAAGGCAGAAGTATGTAACCTATGACTGCTGATATATCATAGGTTTTACATGGCAACATTTGCGAAACATAGTATTGGGATAGGGCACATTTAATAAATGTCCTGTTTCATGTTAGTTTCTTTTAATTGATACACCTGTGGAGTAACATATTGCTTTTTAGTGTGTAAGCTAGGTTTAACAGTAACATTATTCTAGTTAATTCATGGAATTTCATCTCAAGAGAGTGAGTTTAGTTTTATGCCGCTGTTTTAGCAATATTACAGTAACATCACGATAGGGAAATGAGAAATGGGCTTCACACATTGTACCCATATGGGGAATCAAACCTGGGTCTTCGGCGTGACAAGTGAACGCTTTAACCACGAGGCCACCCCATTTCATCTTGATGTGGTGGGAGGACATTGAGAAATGATGCAGGTGTTAGACATTCACCATCTTGGTGAAACCCTCAAGCATGATTATGGTGCTGATCGACTTACAAACATGGTCAGGGGGAACTGGGATTTGAACACATGGTCACAGGTTCACACATCACCAAGGGACTGAACTCTGCACAGCAAATTGCAGTGTGTCAGATGACAAGGCCACCTGTGTCTCCATTATTAAATTTATTACTGGTTTAGTGTTTTAAAATATATCACAGGGATTTAACTAAACTTCAAATCAAGTAAGAAAAACGTAAAAAGTATCCCAATTTTGAACAAAATGACACATTTTCCTGCCAATTTGCTGTCCAATGGCTAGATAAATCTCTCTCCTACAACATGTCCCCACTAGTAAATGTATTCTTGGTTTTGTGTTTCATAAAATATCACAGGGATTTAACTAAATTTCAAATTAAGTGCCCTGGCAGGGATATTGTGAACAATGTAAATAAATACCCCAATTTTGAACAAAATGACACATTTTCCAGCCAATTTGTCCTCCAATGGCTCTGGGAATCCTAAATAAATCCCTCTCCTTGAACATGCATATCAAACAGATTTTTTTAGCTTACGGGAATGCAGCGACTTAGAACAAACTAGATGATGCGAAACATATCTCTTTTTAACATGTCCTAACAATACTGTTACCATGGCTACACAACACATTGACAAGTAAATGGATAGAAGACAATAATTCTTTGTTTTCATGCATATAACCTTGTAAATAACATCATGCATGAATGAAGATCAGACTCAAACATCTGAATTAATAACAGCTCATAGCAATTTAGTTTTTATCGTAGTCATGGTAACATAATGACAATAATTCATAACAGACCTTTGATCATGTTGATATAGGTTTCATTATCAAATAGTGACAAATAGTTTGGGTCAACTGAGATCAAACAGCAAATATCTGGATAGGCACATCAACTACTCCAATCGTCTGAGACTAGTAATAATTTAGACCGATTATTTTTTCCCCTAAAATCTTGTTTGCATAACCACAAGCCCGGAAAGAGTTGCAGACTAGTTGGATATGAGAAACACTGTCTACCTCTGAATAAGCAGTTCAAAGCAGTCAAAACACCTCCACACAAAAAGGTAACACTTTAGAAACATGGCCCTTTTTCACAATATATTAGGATAAGGAACCAGATCAAACCGTCACTAGATTTAGCATAGTTGTTGCAAGGCGTGACAAGGACAGATTGTAGTGTTGTATGTACCTAGTTACTTGATACAAGGTATATATTGTACACAGCAAGTGCTCTGAAACAGGCAACTGTGCTACTGTCCTTTAGAAGCACTAGGTGTCAAACTCGTTGAAAAGCATACAGCTGTATTAGAAATTCAGTACACTGGAGCACTTCTATGCAGCCAGCGACTGGCTTGCTATACCTGTAACATTTCTTTTCGCCCTGTAATATTTACATATAATTTACTCGCTTTAATGAATATTACATTCAAGATCAACGAACAAAATTTTACCAAGACTGACATACACAAGGAACCCTTGTCATACAACTTTGCATAAACCTTTGGCGCTTTGTATATTTACATATGAAGTCAAGGTCTTAAAGTCTAAATCACTACTTGATTGAGAACACAGGTATTAATAATATTCAAAGAAATGACTTAACATTGGAAAATATCTAGTCAATAGATGCAAATGGCTCTGGGTGATGGACGTTTTACAAAATCATCATTCAGGTAGGTTTTGATGAAATATGTCACAAATGTTCCAAACGTTGATGAGTATTCTGTGTAATGATATGATGTAAAATTGACAGCAAAATATTTCACTTCATTTCTACATTCATCACCAACGATATTGACTGATAATCAATAACCCCTATGTAAATTATATATTATAATTACTGCCTGAACATTATGGTGTATAAATCTTATATACACCAGCTGATACTGCTCATATATCGGGTTTATTGTAAGCTGTTCGTTTCACCTTGACAACCGCGAAATGACAAAGTCTGGGGCACTGTTTGGTCTGTTTTGCAAAGAACACCGAGATAAAAGCTTTGTATTTCCCGGCTCGGATAACACACGATACAAATGGTGGACTGTCATGCGAATGGTACATTACCACTGGCATTAAACCGTGGCGTGTGGTATTTGCCTCAGATCCACGGTTCTTTTTCTGTAAATGTCGAAACCACAGAGTATATCATGATACGTCTAGAATCTTCCGACTAAGAATAAGATGAGGCGAACGGGCCGATCAGACGTCAATACAGGTCTCAATTACATATGCTTACCTTTGACTAGGTTGATGCGGTATTCTTTCAATGCCATTATTATAATTTGATGTGCTAACAGAAATGTTGTTGTGTTGTTGTCTTTGAGTGCCACGCCCACGATGCACGTGTTTGTTGTGGCATGATCAAGTCAATCAAACTGGCGCGCGACCACCCGAGGTTTTGTTCATGTCGTCATTCAGTATCCACCCGCTCCAGTGTCGCTCACGATTGTCTGACGAAAATTGCTGTGTAGCTTTATCCAATTCACGAAACACATCCAACGAAAGAAGAATTATTACAAAAGGTACACGAAATCCTGTCTAATCTCCACACATAACGTCTGCTAAGATATCACCCGGTCATCTTGGGCGATCTCATTGTGATAATGGGGGTGACAGGTTGACACACGCCACGGCGTAACAGCTGGAGGACTGTCTCATATCGCACCAAGGGGAGGAAGGAAGACAGGTGCGACGCGGAGCGACAGTAATGTCGTTGTGCGTTATTTACATTCCTGGTATGTGTTTGATTGTTGACATTTTTGTGTTAGTGCGAAAACGACAGGTGAGTTTCGGCCATTGTTTATACACCACAGTGAGTTTAACAACAGGGGATGGACAGGCCATGGCCGCTCGCGCACGAAAGCTCTGCCGGGAGATCAGCTGGTATAACCCCAAGGCCGCTGTCAACGGCTGACAGATTACAACTTTTTTCAATAAAAAATCTACATCGAGACATTGTTTTGTTTTCTCAGTAAAATTGCGTTATTAATCACATTTATCACGCCCCCTATTAAATTAGTTATTTTTCGGTTGATAAATTGACATTTATCACATATCATAATTAATTTAGTTATTGAGTACACACCACAGCTCGTTTTGTGTCATTGACCAACAAGTATATATATTATTTATACATTGGCGGATCCAGAGGGGGGATTCCCATCCCCCCCCCCCCCCTAAAAATTCCTGGATCCGCCCATGTTATGTATTTATAGGAAACGAAATCTTTGAATAAATTACATACTGCTTTCACGTTTCGATTAATCTTATAACATTAGCACAGGGTTGAGCTATTTCAGAGCGCCCACAATAAGTTATTCTACTATTTATATAAATATATCATCTATTTAAGAGGACGCGGTGTGGTGTTATCTGACATATATATTATTGCATGTAAATAATGTACCATACGTAGGCTATGTATTTGTACGTTGCAACGTGTACCTGAATATTTTACAGGTTATGTATTTTTGTTGTGGAGGGTGTGTTTCCTTGTACTTTAGAGTAACCACGCCTACATAGTCCGTCATCCAGATCCTGATACAAATATATCTAATACAGCCATGCAAGTGTACGACATGGGGCATGTCTAGATTTCTACAGTTTCTGAAAATGAAGAAAGTCTCTGGGCCCCATTGTGTTACATTTTACCAAGGTAATGTAAGTACGTATTTCTGTCAAATATATTCATTTCAAACACTAGATGTTTGTCTAACGCCCAAACGCAGTGTATAGATCTTGAAGACATATGCCTAAATGCACTTGAATCACTTGTAAATAGTGGATGATCTACTCAGATGATGAAAATAACATCTCCACATTTTGTGTATTGATCAAGGAAAAACAAGTCTCACATCTTATCCTTTTTTAACAGTTTAAATCATTTATTTAATAGCTCCAATAATTTCCACTCCAAATGCATTTAAAGTTCACATTTAAAAAAACGACATCAGTAGGGCAGTGCGATAACTGCATTTATTCCATGGCGCTCCCAGCACATGGGACCTTCCCACAGACAGGGCACCCATCTACTGACATATACGTGACTTGGCGTAAGTCATACAGGAAATCCATGGCCGACTCGTGTCGTTCGAGGATACGCCGAAAACACAGGTTACGAAATGCAGCTATTAGTGATGAAAGGTAGCTGGGTGGCGCTATAATGATTTTTAAAAGACGCTTCAGTGTTTAACCAACCTCTGTGTATAAAACATGTAAATCAGAGAATAGAACTTGAACTGAGAAAAATGAAACGCGTGATTTCCTTGTTTGCTATTGTTTTACGCCGCAGTCAGCAATGTTCCAGCTATATGACGGCGGTCTGACAATAATGAAGTCTGAACCAGACAATCCAGTGATTTACATCATGAGCAGTGGTATACGATGACACGTCTACCGGCCAGCGAGCCTGATCACCAGTGTATGAAATATGTTTGAAAAATAGCCAGCCCGAATATGATAATTTGTCTATTTAAATGGCAAAATTAAACAAAAAAGCTTCCAAAAGTTGCCAGCCCAGACCAAAAGTTACCAGGTTACGGGTTGTCGGACAGGTCTTATTTCATTCACTGTGATCACACGATCACGTTAGTCGACTCTTTACAAGCATGGGTTGCTGAAGAACAAATCATTACCCTAATATTACGACAAAGTATATTTCTAAATCTGTTAAAGAGCCGAACAGTTTTCACACAGATATAGAACTCTAATCTGTCTCACAGTCACCGAACCACATTATTTTCCCTACTGCCTAGCCCTCCCTACAATGCTGAAGCCCTAAATGAAGCAAGTCTAGATTTCATCAGGCTCAGGAATCTCCCATCTTCTTTTCAGATTAAATGGGATTATTTGTTACTATCAAAATTATATAAATTCAGAGACTAAGCGTTAGTCTAATAAAACTCTTACAGGACAATAACGTGCGTGGTATATGTAACGTAACTTTAATATAAATGTGTCAATCAAACAGCTCCTGCCTATCTGACAGAATTGATTGAGAAATATGAACCTTCTGTAACGTAACTTTTAATCCCGCCTCTGGAAAACAGTTATTAACTCTGTGGAACGAAACAGTTATTAAATAATCATTGACAATGAAATATAATCATCTCTTCCAAAAGTTCTAAAGGATTGATATACCAGTGAAAAAGACTGCAGTGTTTTTAATTTTCAGACCATGCAGACAGTAAGTTTGGAGTTTTGGCGCATAACAAATCTACTGTATTATTATTATTATATTATTATTATCTAGACTTTTAGATTCAGGAAAACTGTCATTAATAATATATGAAATGTCAGGGTCTGTATGACATTTTCAGACACTGCATATTTGACTTGCCAAATATTCTAGACTTTCAGTTACATCAAGTAAACAAATTGTTGAAAAATAGTGTGAGTGAGTTTAGTTTTACGCCACTTTTAGCAATATTCCAGCAATATCACGGCGGCGAACACCAGAAATGGGCTTCACACATTGTACCTATGTGGGGAATCGAACCCGGGTCTTCGGCGTGACGAGCGAACGCTTTAACCACTGGGCTACCCCACCGCCCCGTTCAAACAAAAAAACATTAACGTATACTGTGCCTTGTGCATCATGCGTGATCGTGTTCTTTAGTGTTTTGCGAGTAATACACACGCGTGTGTGTGTGTGTGTGCATGTTTGTGTGTGAAACATCTGGCGTTATATATGACAGAAATCCTATTAAACACGTGATAATATATCATCTGCTATGACTTGAAGCTAGACGATGGACCATTGGGCCTTTAAGTCCTGAATAAATTGTATGTCTGTCTCACTGGCTGCAAATTAAGAATATCAAAAAGGCTTGTAGACACTACAATAGACTTATTATGCTTGGATAAGAATATATGCATGTTTTGCGATGCTGCTTTAAAGTAGTATGAGACTGTCTCCCTTCAATAATGATAGAATCTTCCACTGATATTGACTTGGCGTGGCACCAGAAGCACACAAATATAAATATTGGATATTTTATTGCCAAACTCGAGGGCACATATTAGGATCCTAGCAGGAGCTGACAACATTAGGCCACAGCGCACAGAGGTCCGCGAACTGAAGGCCTGGTTTCCTTGGTAGGCTGCGCTTGCGCTATACGCAGTAACCAGACTGAGCGGTTTATTTGTCACGCCCCGAGTTAGGAACGAAATGTTTTCAGCGATTTGGAAATAAATAGCATCCTGTATCCCACTATGTAGATATTTAAAGGGTCTTAATTACCAATCAGGAAACATCTGTTAAGAATAATCAACAAAACTCCGGGCCCCCTAAGTATGACGTCACTGCGTTGTGTTGGGGCGCAGTGAGTATATTCTCTTGACGTCAGAACTGTTGTATAAGGTTGCTTCAACTTGAAATTAGAGAATGTTTTTACGTTATTATTTTTTTCTTTTTCTGTGCTTGCCGTCTACCTGTATGGATCACGGGTCTGGTTCTAGCAATTTTAGATGTTTAACAAATGTTGTGATTTTGTAAAAGAGAAAATTCCGTCGCTATAGAATGTGATCCTATACTGGTGGATACCAACATCTTATTCCTAGAAATGACTTATCTTATTTAAAACTATTTACTTACAAAATATATAACGATTACTCCAATTGTAGGCCTACAACATGTGAAGCCCATTTCGTGACGATTGTTACAAAAGAAGAAATGGTCAGGTTGTCAGGTTCGATAACTCTGCTAGATCGCTGACCTGTTATCGCACCCGACTACCTTGGACATGATTCATTACAACAGTTACTGGTTTGTCTGGTCCAGACTCGATTATTCATCTCCAGGTCGTCGTGATCTGACTTCGGGGCCCGTCAAGGTCCGGGTTAGAATATTGATCTTCAGTAACCCATGCTTGTCGTAAGAGGCGACTAACGGGATCGGGTGGTCAGGCTCGCTGACTTGGTTGACACATGTCCTCGGTTCCAAATTGCGCAGATCGATGCTCATGCTGTTGATGACTGGATTGTCTGGTCCAGACTCGATTATATACAGACCGCTGCCATATAGCTGGAATATTGCTGAGTGCGGCGTAAAACTAATCTCACTCACTCACTCTGACTCCGGCGTTAGTTAGTGAGTGGTTTCAATCATCCTCGATAATCTCGTTCCGACAAATCTCCGCTAGTACCCTGTATGCATCTACAGCTCGGTCCGATAATTACATTACCTCCCTTTGCTGGGTCCGCCTTTTCACAGTAGCCAATCAGATAAGCCGTTACTTGTGGAAATTTATCGGAACGAATACCCTGCAGATTATCGAGGATGGGTTTCAATCCACGTTGAGCAAAATTCAGTAACATTTAAGGAGAGGGACACCAGAAATGGGATTCACACATCATATACAGGTATGGAGTGAGTGAGTGAGTTGGGTTTTACGCCGCTTTTAGCAATATTCCAGCAATATCACGGCGGGGGACACAAGAAATGGGCTTCACACATTGTACTCCACATGTGGGGAATCGAACCCGGGTCTTCGGCGTGACGAGCCAACTCTTTAACCACAAGGCTACCCCACCGCCCCATATACAGGTTTGGAATCAAACCCGTGGCCTCTGCGTGAAGAGCTAACGCTTTGGCCAATATGCTACCCCATCGTCTCAGACAAACATGATTCCATTGCAACTAAATCTTTCAGAAATGGTTTTAGGTACATTGAAAGTCACTGGTGCATGCATCACACTTGATAAACTGTATGTTATCCTGTACGATAAACGGCACCATGTGTAATAGAGACAAAGGCACATCAACCATCTCATATCTAGCTACGGATTTAGATAAACGGCTGTTTCAAGAATATATTTGAGTCAAGTTATATCGAATTCCATCAGTTCATTTGAAATATTTGCGTTACTTCTCTTTGCACGTGCCATAAATAAATCAATTTATCACTGCAGGAGTTATAAACACCAACTCTTTTATCACAGTCGGTGCACTAGTACAATATATACACCACGTCTTAAACAAGTCACGCGGTAAATTAGCACGTTACCACAATCTTCCTCGAAGACAGCCAATCAAATCATGGCACCATCGTGTCAAGGTTATCAAAAGGGAGATAACTGTAGTTGGTTACGAGACAGCTGTAGATACTCCAACGATGATAGGAAGGCTTTTAAAGATTTTTAAGTGTGGCGGCCATGTGTTGTGGTGGATGTTGTGATGTCAGTAACCTAGTGTTGATGACGTGCATTCCGACAGTATTCGATAAGAATGTATCATGTATCCAAACAACCAAGTTGTAACGCTGGTACACAGCGATCAAGGACGATGTGACAGTAGTACTGGCGGTGGCGGGGTAGTCTGTCTCACAGTCACTGAACCGCATTAGTTTCCCTTCCACCCAGCCCTTTCTGCAATGCTAAAGCCTTAAATGAAAGCAAGTCTAGATTTCCCGAAATTCTGAATTTCCCATCTCACCGGGACTCCTTTTCAATTTAAAAGGGATTATTTGTTTCTATCAAAATAATATACAGTATGTACATTCAGAGACTCAGTGTGGCTGGTTAGCCTAGCTTATGGTTAAAGCGTTCGCTCGTCATGTCGACAACCCAGATGTGTACAACGTAAGAAGCCAATTTCTGGTGTTCACCGCAGTTATTATGCTGGAACATTGCTGAAAGCGGCGTAAACCCTTATCTAGTGACTCATGAGTTGTACTGTGGATAAGGGTGGCCTATCGCACTTAAGGCGACGACATTCGCCATGCAGAGATGCGTCTGTTAGAGTTCATGGTTCTTGGGTTGTCTACACCGTATCCATGCTGGAAGATTTCACCAATATGTTAAATGTCTAAGAGCTGCATCATTTTCTGCTTTTATTCCACACTGAGCTCACACGCCATGTCATTATTGTCTCGACCGCCTCCGTGGTGTAGTGGTTAGAGCGTCCGCCCGGAGAGCGGAAGGTCGCGGGTTTGATCCCCGACCGCGTCATACCAAAGGACGTTAAAATATGGTACTTGTTGGTCCCTGCCTGGCGCTCGGCATTAATGGGTACAACAAGGACTGGTCGGCTCGGAGTCAGTATAATGTGTCTGAGTGGGGTATTACCGCCCGGAGGGGGTATTACCTATTCAAGCATCACTGCGGTATGGTATCTCAGTGGGCTAGCACTATAAAACCAGCTTAAGTCTGGGATAGTACAAGCAGCCGCACATACACATACACACGCATGCACGTCGTCATGTGAGCGAAATATTCTCAAGCACGACGTTAAACCCAATTTCACCTAACCTCACCTCATTATTGTCTCACTCGCTGTACTGTAACAGAAATAACCACTCATCTTACCGAAGGAGGGGAGATAACTCACTATAAATGTCCAGTCTCACTTCGGTAGATGTCACTCACTAACTCAGTTACTCACTGTAACAGAAATCGCATCCGGAAACTATGTAGAGTTGCCTCCCTTAGCCATACCATAACCGTATCCATGTATACGGGTTCGGATCCATGCAATGCGGTTTCACCATAGTGGGAATTCGACAGTTCAACATTCAGTATTAATATATGAAAGCCCAGTATTTCGGAACTTTCCAAAACAGGTAAATCATATTCTAACACAGCTTAACGTTTTCAACTTCCATATGCACTGCCGGAAATAGAAAATGTCTACCCATGTTTGATGGTGTCTAAAACAAACAAGAAATAGTCATTAGATGGTGATGTATTTGATACAGGTTGTGTTTTGAACCTTAAATGACGATTCCACAACGTTTGCAATATTTTGAGTGAGTGAATGAGTTTTAGATTTACGCCTTTTAGCAATATTCCAGCAATATCACGTCGGGGGACACCAGAAATGGGCTTCACATATTGTACCCATGTAGGGAATCGAACCCGCGTCTTCGGCGTGACAAGAGAAAGCTTTATCCACTAAGCTACCCCATCGCCCCTGCAATGTTTTGGTCAATTCGAATTTTCAAGTGTGATTTCTTATGCTCGTCAGTTGATAATGCACTACAAACTTCACTCCGTGTTAGGCATACACATAACCTAACTTCAAAGAATATTAAAACAGGAATGTGGTTATTTTATGTTTTTTCCAAGTATTCCCTGGGTTCCATAAGCTACGACACACCAGTGACCTATGCAACACGATACAGATGCCGCTGCTGCTGCAACAACGGGATTTTCATTAGTAAACTAGACCCTGGCCTGCATATCACCTAAATCTTGACATGT